TTGTGTGAAAGAGAAACTTCATGAACTTATTAGTACTTTGAACTATAGTGCTAGATGCTGCCTTGAATTCCAAAATTTAATTTAATCTAAGACTATTTCTAGATTAGATATATCACTACGAAAATATGTAGATTGAGAGAGACTACTCAGTATTATAAACTAAGAACAAACCTGTGTCAACTGTTGATATGTGAAGCCTTTTTCGGCCAGGTTCACTTTGGCGTTTGGACACTTCAGAGCACACTAATTTATTTCTTGTCATCCTTTTGGGGCGTACTTGCCATTGGATAACATCCATCTTCTTCATCTAGATATAAAGTATTTAATATAGGATACACTGCTTAGAATCTTCAATCTAAATATTAAAGGGATATTAAAGTGTCACACCACAATACAGGCGGCCATTTTATGGGCCGACTACAACCCAACGTCTTTTGTATCAATCCGTCGTATATTTAAGCCATCCTTTGTGAATCCTTGCTGCTTTTATATAATTCGTACTGGCAATGTACCATATATGATATTTTAAACTTTATTTGTTGATTTTGGGAGAGATAAAAACAATAACAAAGCCATGATACTATGACGTATTCTGTCGCTATACAGATATGTAAAACATGCCGTCAATACCGGCAAATGCGACATAAATATTGTATAAAATTCATTCAACTTACTCTCGATACTTAAATTGTAAAGGGAAACTTCTAAAATGTCCACATCGCTGCTTTCCGAGTCGTTTTCTTGCCTTATTTCAGCCATACCCGAGAACCGCAGAATCGACCCGAGAAACGCGCATTATATGGCAGAGTCTTGATTACATTTTGTCAACCATCGATCTCACCCCCCCGTCGCGCACCACTAAATATCCTTTACTATCCCTACAAATCCTAAATAATTCAGACTCTGCGGAGGAGAGTGGATGTTGTCAATGTAGAAAGGCCACACAGTAGTATTGACGAATATTTTTTCCCTTTGTTAATGTATAAATGCACATCTTTGTCAAACATGTCCATGCACTTACCAATGGTAATCCTCAGGGTGGCATGCTGGCTATCTAAAACATAGTACTGGGACAATTAGCACTACAAATAATTTAATTAACACATTAAGTGGCAGCACTCTCCCCCTGACGAGTAAAATCGTCTGGCGTTGGACAAAATAAAATATATAATAAAGTAAGACGAATCTGCGCACAATACATTGCCACTTAAAGGGTTAAATATATTTTCCAAACTATCTCACTTCTGTGAGCAAATGTCATAATTATATCTATAACATCAGTTACAGTTTATACAGTATTTATAACGTCCATCATTTTATCATTCTAAGATTAAAATCTGTCAACAGAATTAATGTCATATACAGCTTATATCTAGCCTGATAACAGACCTACGTTTCACCCGCCCTAAAATTCGTCGACGGAAAGGTCGAAACGTAGGTCTGATGAAAATGTTGTCAAAAGCGCCTTCCGCCCACTTTGCATTTTGCAATAATTAACGACGATGATTGACACATACATGTAATACCTAAAAATACAATGAAAGTTGTCGATTTCACTTTATTACAAGTTTGTAAACTAGTAAGAGTCGATAAGTACAGATATTCGAATAAATATTTAAAATATTGGTAACCCCATGGAGCCCGTTGCTTTTATATACTTAAACCTTTGTAAATGAACAGTTACAGCTAGTAATAATACAACATTTTCAACACATTCTATAAATGCGATAAAATCTGCTTACGCAAATTGCCATGGCCAATGTGCCATTGTTGAATTGCATCCCAACTCTTACAATTTATACATTTTGAAATCGCCATACAATGGTAAAATCTAAATAAAATATATTGTACGTGCTATGTTATCAAAATGTAAATCACGAATGCGCACATATTTGTATCCGAGTTTTACAATGATTTATAATTACAAAACTTAGATCGTGTATAAAAAATTATATATTGTATTGTTTATTACAACGGAAAGATACACTACGCTGAAGAATTTGACACGTACTGATCTACTCCCCTCTAGTTTTAATTTTAGACGGTAGACACTGATCATAGACTAGTTGTCATTCGGCATCACAAAATATTTAGAATATTACACTGTATGCATATTTATATGCGTTGATTTACCGTTGAAAATATTCTGATCTTTTCAAATCTTTTCATGTTAGCGACCGACCAATCACAACCCATTTCCCTGTGAATTAGCCAATCAGCTTTGTCGACCGCCAGGCGGTCGACTTACATGCACTTTTGACAACACTTTCATCAGACCTACGTTTCGCCCTTCGTCGACCCGCGAATTTTAGGGCGGGCGAAACGTAGGTCTGTTATCAGGCTACCTTATATCAAACAAGACGCTCTACGGAGCGTTAACTCGCTGGGGCTAGTATACAACTACGCACATTACTGTACAATGTGCATGATACATACAGTACACAGCTCTTTCAATTAAGATTCAAGGTTTTCCCCGAGCTAAGTGGAAAAGTCGAATACGAGCGCGAAAGGCTTAATAACACAGTACTAAAATGCGGTAGGCCCTACAAGTAAAGTTATATTTAGTACGCTACATTTTTCTTCAAAACTGTCAGCCGCCAGGTGGTCTATGATTAAACTGCGCTTTAAAACGTTCAAAATAAAATATTTTGGAGCTTTTGGGCTCAAAATACTATCAAAATGAAGCGAGAAGTGAGACGAATCCACTGGTATACGGCCAAAAAAGAGAAAACCAATGATACCAAAGTTATCAGGGATTAAACGTACTGCATTTTTTTATACTTATTTAATAATTTTGAGCGATTGGCAACAATACAATTTCGCTTGGCTTTCAAAGACAAAGGCCATAAATCGCTAGAACACTGTTCAGTAAAACATTTGACATCCATAATTAGTACGATTTCTAAAGCTGAATCGAACCGTGGTATTTTTATCCTTATTGCGCCATTAGGCATTACAAATACACTATGAAACGTACTGCGAGTGATTTGACAATAATATGTACTGTGACAGTGTGAGCGATTTCATTGTCAACAAATACAATTTCGCTTGATTTTCAATTCAAAGGCCATAAATCGCTAGAATACTGGTGCTTAGTAACACATTTGACATCCGTAAGTACAATCCCTTACGAAAATTTCCTATAGGAATTCCTATAGGAAAAATTCCTATAAGAATTTGGGACAAAATTCCTATAGGAATTTTTCCTATAGGAATTCCTATAGGAATTCCTATAGGAAAAATTCCTATAGGAAAAATTCCTATAGGAATTTTGTCCCAAATTCTTATAGGAATTTTTCCTATAGGAATTCCTATAGGAAAAATTCTTATAGGAATTTTCTCTACAGGAATTCCTATAAGAATTTAATAGGAAGAATTCCTATAAGAATTCTCAAGTCTAGTCCCAAATTATTATAGGAATTTCCTATAAGAAAATAATTTATTCAAATTTCCTATAAGATTTTTGGTATTCTAGAATCTAGATGAAATAATAGTAAATGACAGACAATGTTGTTCATCACTCTTAATTTTTTAATGCAAAAAATAGATATAAATATTAATTAATAAATACTAATTAATATTGCAAATATAAAAATTAATATGAGAAATTGGTTATACTAAACATTACAAATCAATTATAGTTTTCACCTATTGTGACAAATTAATCGTTCTACCTCAATGCAATGCCATATGATGCGTCCTACTTTATTATTTTACTCTGCCTAACTATTTTACTTTGTCTAATGCCAGACTATTTTACTCTGTCTAACTCCAGACAATTGTACTTGAATGTCAAGGGGAAATGCTGGCTCCGAATGGGTTAACTAGCCTATATTCCTATATATGTGTCTAGTTAACCCATTGAATCACATTGCGCCCTGATGTGCCTACTTTATTATTTTACTATAGTTTACTCTGTCTAACGCCAGACGATTTTACTCGTCAGAGCGCTGGCGCTTAATGGGTTAAACCATAGGTAATAACCATAATTGACATTTAAAGTTAAGTTTAAAACTGGCCTCAAAACATAGTCCTCAAAATAAGTTCTTGTTCTTGTTTGCTTTTCTATACTTTGCAACACTTTCCCATGTTGTTTATATTTGTCCTCATATGTTGACGAACCTCTGAGGCCTTACATCCATACTTTGTTGATAGCTGTAAAAAGACAAATACATTTATTTTATGTCTACCATTCCAATGTGTTTTGTTAACACATTAAATATGCCCAAATGCACCCAATTTATTATTTTACTCTAAGTGGAGAGTCTAGCACTTTAATAGAATAAACACAGTAAAATAACAAAGTACTAAGAGTAGGGCACATTGCTTCTAAATATGCCACACAGCAGCTTTTGCAGTTAATTATTAACCTTTCAATGACCAACATTCATTTTGATGAGTAAAATCATCTGATAAATATCAAAGTACTGAAAGTGGGGATTGAGTGTTAGGGTGAATTGCATCTAAATGTGCTAACGCCAAATAATGCAAAATAGTCTGGTATTAACAGGGCAAAATATTGAGCTTTGAAATAGAGCGCATTAGTGTGAATTTGTGAATTGGGTCTTAATGAGTTTACACAAAACACAGGGAGACAGCAAGGTAACCTATCAAAGTTGTCCACTCTCTTTCAAGTAAAATGATCTGGTGTTAGACAAGGTAAAATAAAAAAGTACTGAAAGTTGAGCACATTCATCTTAACAAGTTAGCATGAAATGTAAGCTAGCAGAGAGTCTGGTTAATTTGAATACCATCACATACTTATGTTTATAAACTGTGGTTTAATTAATAGAAAAACATGGATAATTTTCCTGGCATTACACTAAAGCATGTCTAAAGGCTAACAGATCTTAGGCCGTATCACAGAATAAAGATCAGTAACAGAAGGGCAACTCAGCGGTGCAACGTGTCCTCGTTTTTTTATGCAAAAATATGCAGTTTACTGGCCAGAAGGCGGAGCAGCCAGCCAGTACAGCGTGTTTATTGGCCAGAAAATGTCATTGACTGGCTAGGAAAATGGCGGCCAACATGCGTAATGCGACATGCGCGAGGACAGAAACTTCAAAGCTTCCGACGTAAGTTGCCCTTCTATGTGGATCTTTATTCTATGGCCGTATTCTGTGGCACGATATCATTCAATTCCGTTGCCATGGTTCGGGCACTACTTTGAAACAAGATAAATAATTAGGATAAATCATACAAAATCCAAATCCGCTTGTTGGCACTTCTCAAAACCTGCAGTTTTCGAGTATTTCTTCTTCGAACATTCAAGAAATCAACATCTTTCGCAATCAATCGCCGCCATTTTTGTTCAGGATACTTGGTGTAATAAACACTATAAATGGCAATTTTCGCGGGCTCACACTCGTTCTTACATGAAGTTTCCAGTTTAGCATTTGTAAACATGGCGTCTTCTGATTCATGTTTACTTCATTTTGAGGGGGGAAAAGGCCCACTTACAGGTTTTAGTGCGGTTTTGTATAAAAGATGTTTAGATTGTCATATAATTTGGCTAATGCTAGACAGGGGCGAAGGCAATGTTGCTCAAAGAAGTTTGCAATTTGTTAGCGACAGCATGCAAATTTCTCTTATCGACTTATCATCGAGGATGTTACTCGGCATTCACAAATAGCAGTATGATCAAACGAGCTCAAGTGCATTGTTAGAATATGGACAGACAAGGTGTACCTTCATCCTCTGGTATCGATATTAATAATGACGAAGAAACGGAATCAGATGAAACTCCACCTGGCACTTGTAAAGATACTGTATAAATGCTGAGATCTAGATTGCGTTGAGAACTAGACTCAGTTGAAAATAACCGAAATATTCCATATATTGAAAATATATGTTGAAAATATCCGAAATATTCCATAGTTCCGAAATATCACATAGTCGAACCGACCTGACCGCGTAGCT